CCCCCCCCCCCCCCCCCCCCCCCCTCGCCTCTCTACGGGACTCACTAACGTTAGGCCTCGACCTAACCAATCCTAATCACACGCCAAGTCACGCCAAGGCCTACCTTTCTCTTTTCAAAAGAAACTCAATTCTAGACTTATGGAGCCAATTATGCCTGAGGGTGAATCGTGGTCTTCCACACATCTACTTGAGGACATGTAACATTAGGCCAATCGCAGGCCTATTCAAACTTTCACGAACCATTTCAGAGAGGACATGTAACGTTAGATCGATTGGAGGCCTGTTTGGCGTTTCATAAACCATTTCAGTGGGACGTAGGGCGTTAGGCCTATCTGGAGTCCCTCGAACCATCTCGATTAGGCCTGAGGAGAGAATGCCTTCAAGAAGAATGCAATCCATGGTACGAGCCATCCTGTTAATTCAGGGATGTCCGGATAAGATATCTGTATATCCCACCACATCAATAGGCGCGGTAGCGCCTATTCCCTTTCTTCAACCCCTTCCCGTCACAAAATCCAACCTCCTCGTATTCCTCTCTGAGAGGATCTACAGATACGAAATTTGGCAGACTTCTTCCCATCTCAACACAGAATCGCTCCAGCAAATTTTAAGTTCTATCTCCCCCGGGTTGTGAAGAAAACTAAATCTCCCTTTTTGAAGATGCCAAATTCATTGGGTTTTTTTTTTTTTTTCCCCCCCCCCCCAGGGGGGGGGGTGGACGATGATCACAGAGTTGGGGGGGGGCTTGAACCAAAGTGAAGGCCGAACTGAGGTCTGAAGCCCTCTCACCAGCCCCCCTCGCTACGCTACTAATCAGTAATGGTTCAATTAGGCTTAGAGTGCTTGCTCCAGTAACTTCCCCAGTGTTGCTGGATACCGTGCCGAAATTTGAGGCTGTTTCAACCTTCGTATTGGCGTCTGGATCTTGTTTTATAATGTATGAGACATTTTTGTGCTGAGTTTATGAGTTGAGGAAAGGTAATAGGCGCTACCAAAGCCTATTGATATTAAGAGATGTGATCTTATATCTGGCTAACCAACACTACCCACTCCAAAAAGGGAGATGAAGGAATTTAAAAAGAGAAGAATTAAAGGAAAGGAGTCTTTGGGATCTGAAAGAATAGCAGGATCCTCATCGGTGGCACGGTCCTGCTCAAACCTTCGATGTAGAGAGATCTTTTTCGGAAATCCCACTAGAGCCAAAATAAACTAGAAGAAAACAAAAGAGTACAGCTGAAAGGTTGTCGGTTGAAAGAAACCACGGCTTGAATCATTCTCAAAATCACCACAAATGCACACTCTTATTAGCCAGAGAAAGCTTACGCTCATGCTGCAGAAAGGCAACCAGTGCAGGGAGCAATGCGAAAATGGAATCGACGATGCTCAGGAGAACCAACAACTGCTAACCGACAGCTGTGAAGAAATGAAGCCTTTTGTGGGATCCGTGCCCGAAAGATCTATCCACAATCCATGGCGCGATGAGAAAAGATTGGAGAAGGACAAAATTCCACAAAAACTGGGAGAATTTACTGGGTAAATCGGATCACGTGTTGCAATCCGAGCCTGTGGACGCAAAACCAAAACCAACTCTCTTAGCCGTCCCCTAATCGACAGAAAAAAAGAAGGAGAAGGCAGTGGAAGCGGAAAGACCCAGTCGACCCCAGAAGGCGAATGGCCTATGCCAATCCCCTCAAATCCGTCCTTTGGCCTTTTAGCAGACAAACGTATGTATTGATAGATTAATCATTTTGGGAGGAATTTGTCTTCAGAGTGTTGTTAACCCATACCCACAATCGCATGTTTCCTGCTTTAATTACATGTGCTGAAAATCAAGATGGTGGCAGTCGAGGTAACAAAGAAGGTGGAACAGCGCATCACCATGAAATTTCTGGCCAACGAGAACATGAAATCTTTTGAAATTTACGAATGATTGTCTGCGCAGTGTGGCGATGATAGCCCTTAAGAAAAAACTCTTCCTTCAGTCAAAATGAGAACCTCAAGTCGCTTTATGTTCGCTCTGCTGAACGAAGTGGCTGGTCTAGCAGCGTGTGCTTAATTCTGTACGCTTTCGCACTCATATTTAAATGATTTGCACTCGTCAAATACGGGTGTCTTTCACAGGCAGTCATCATAAGGAATTGTCTAGAAATTTCAAGCGGTTGGATGTATTCGTTGGCCAGAAATTTCATAATGATTCGCTGTTCCACCTTCTCCGTTACCTCAACTGCCGCCATCTTGATTTTCAGCACATGTATTAAAGCAGGAAACACGCGATTATGAGTTAACAACACTATGAAGACAAATTCTTCCAAAAATGATTAATCTACATGCATTACTCTGCCTTGCATAAACAAAAAAGTCCTGGTAGACCTTGAACGACCCTCGTATATATAGACGACCGGTACTCATACCGCGCCTTCGGTATCGAAGGGACAGATTACAAAGGGAGTTTCATTGCGAGTCTACGACGAGAATGTTTTGGCTTCGCAAAGTTTTGTAGTCTGCAGTTAATTTTGTCGGCGAACTCCAGCCTCGACAGGGCAGCCGAGCCGTCGTAATCACAGTCGGAGAGCAATTGAGGAACGATTGCTTTCGAGCGAGATGAATTCGCCGGGATGAATTGGAGGCAGCCTGAACCCCACGCGGCCCACCGTCCCGCGGGTTTCCGAGACCCGCTTCGTCCTCCAGCGCCATCGGCGTCCTTCGGCTGCGGTTCTGCGGGGTGACTGCGGGATGACCGCGGAACCCCGCGCGCCCGATGTGGAGGGCCCCTCGGTCCCGGTGAGAAACTCGGCTCGCTCACGACTCCATCGACCTTGGAACGGGTTAATCCTGCTCCATGCGCTGGAGGTCGGACGGGACGGAGATACCAACTGGTTCATTCATAGACAGACGCACGTTGGAAGGCCAATGGGGTACTCTTTCCATTTTGCGACACCTTATATAACGCTGTTTCATTTCGAGGCTGTGCTGCGATTCCATCAGTTCGCGAATGGCATCCATCCCGTCGACTTCAGTCGTGACTGTGCTGACTGCTGTTCGGCGAAGCTCTCCATTTCAAGCCTCAATATTTTTTTCCTCAGGTCAGCGCGTGCAAAAGCTGGAAGATGCTGGAGCTGTATCACATGTCCACCTGCCCATACTGCCGGAGCGTCCGTCTCCTGGCAAAGGACATCGGCGTTGAGTTCCAGCTCAAGGATATCATCACCTTCAAGGGCGAACATCTCACGCCCGAATACCTCAAGGTACTTCCACTTCACACCTATTTTTAGACAGGAATCCCTAATCTTTCTACGATTTGTGCCCGACGCCCGTTTTAGCTGCTGTCCGCTTCTCGCCATTTGAGCGTGGCTAATGTCTCTTCTGTTTCGTACGGGCTGAATTTGTTTAATTTTTAAGTAATCCCATGGGAATTTAGAAGCCACGAAGCATTGTTCACGATGAATCGCACTGGTTTAGTAGAGTCTTCCCATGCAACCGAGATCGGAAAGAAGATGGCGTCGTTCTATTCCTTCGAGCTGCAATACAAAGGAGCATACGCCTCAGATTTTCCCTTTCTTCTCGTTACAGGTGAACCCGCAGCACACAGTACCGACCCTGGCCGAAGGGGACTGGTATCTCCCTGAAAGGCAAGTTTTTCCATCTCTGCCATGTCCTTTCATCTTCCCCTTCCAATCGACTTCAATATTTTTCTGAATGATGCCCCTGATTTTCAGCCGAGCAATCATGCGTTACCTGATGGGGAAATTCTGCCCCGATTCCCCGTTGTATCCGAAGGACTTGAAGGTCCGAGCCATGGTCGACCATCGATTGGACTTCGATATCGGGACCCTCAGTTCCCGGTTCGGTCAGCTGGTGGTCAGTGCAATATTTCGCATCGAATGTCTTCGTGAAGTAGCACAGACGATTAAAATAACGGTTATCGATGCAGCTGCCGGTACTGTACAAGGGGGCGAAGTCCATGGACCCCGAGAAAAAGAAGTCCTTCGAAGAGGCCCTGCAGTGGTTGGACTCCTTCATCGAGTCCTCGGGAGGATGCTGCGCCGCGGATCACCTCACCATCGCCGATTATGCCATCTTCACCGTGGTGGACAACGTCGAGGTCCTGAGTCGATCTAGAACTCCTCTGATACTTTTCGAGTCAAAATAATTGACACTTTTGCGAGGCAAAGGAGGGGGAGACTAAAAAAAATCGTAAGGCAAAATCACTTTTCAAGTTCTTTTATTTTTTGCGGGAAATAGCATCATGTTGAATTGGTTAGTTTATGACGTCCTTTGTCTAAACCGGCCTCGAGTATTGCGTAATACCAGACGTCTATCATAACACTGCAAGGATGCAGTGATGTATTAAATAATATAAAAATTTTACATTTTAAATGGCCGCTTGGAATATGCTATTTAGCGACAACTAAGTAAAGTATGAAAATGTATAAAGCAGGGTACATTGAAACTTTCCTTTTCGTACTCCTGTAGGCCATGGAGGTGGTGGACCTGTCGGCTTTCGAGAACATCGTGAAATGGATGAAGAAATGCAGGGCGGAGATGAAGGGATACGAGGAGATCGAGGAGAAGCTCCTGCCGGAGATCAAGGAACGATTCCTCTCCAAACTCGGCTGAAGCGACCGATTCACATCCCCGAATGTATCAGATTATATTATTAAAAGATGAGATGGAAAAATGCTGTGTCTCTTACACTTCGGAAAAGTCAGCGAAAAATGCTTGCACATGGGGTAGATGTTGCTAGATGATTAAACGACTCGTTGTCCTTCGATGCTCTCGCACGTCCAGATTACTAGTGTAGCGTTCAACGATATTACATTTAGAGAGGGTATCGTCGTTGATTTCGATACGGCCGCAAAATTCATAAATTTATAGTATGAGGCATTTTGGGGGCATAAAGCGAAGGGAACCATATCACAAGTAATCCTGCATGTAGGAATTCATGGTCGAGTTGGGTAACAATGCAGATGCCGACTAGAAAAATCTAAAGTGCAAAGTAGAAACTGGATAATTCTCGTAGTCTACGTTCTAAACTTTCGAGCCATCAGTCGCTTCCAGATGCAGAGTCGCTATGTAGGCCTCATTCGTGCCATGAGGTGAAAGAGTGGAGTGAATAGATTTTGGATAAGTTGGAATTTCGGAATTTTCCAGGTTCAAATATTGACCCTGTGGAAATGTAAGTAGCCGAAGAAATTGCCGATGATGGAGTTCCCGTCTGTAGTGCTACTCCATCGCCAAACCCTCAGCCGATGGCAACTGGTATTTGTATCGCTGTCGAGATCATTGTAAGCCGACGGGTTTCAGTGGACATGGTCGGGCGATAGAGCATTACGGGATCGTTACAATCCGGTTCGTCTCCTAGTTATTCATTCATACTCATGATACCTGAAAAAATATATTTAAAAAAAATCCAAATTAAGCCACCAAATTAAGGTAGAAAAAAAGAATTGCGATTATTTAATAAAACTGCATACAACAAAAAACGTCGTACTTCACTGTGAAATGCAGTAAGGGGTTAGTACAAGATTTTCTCATTATTTCGCTTTCTTGAGGGATTTTCGGCTGTTCCCGCGGACTCGTGTATTTCCTGAGAAGGGCGAAGAAAGCCTAACGAATCCGGAAAGGTCTCCATTCGTTCCGGAATGGACCGCCCTGTAAACTTTCCTTCCGCTAACGCACGAAGTTCCTTCGAGCAAGCGCGAATCCTTCTCGAATTCAGAGGACAATCCGTCGATTCTCGACGGAAGGAGACTGCGACTTGGGCCGAACTGAAACCCCGGACCTCCACCCGCGAGTTTTGGTTCGCGTCTGACTGGAATGGCAGCGCCAGTGCTGTTCGCCAGTGCTGTCCGCCAGGGTTGTTCGCCAGTGTTGTTCGCGGCTGATGGGGTTTCATGTGCATCGCCTTGCATCGATGAATCGCCATGCATGTCTCCTTTCACTTGTTCGTACGTGTTGCGGAGCGATACTGTTACGGTCTGCTACTTTTCCATGCATAACCGCGCAAGACATTTCAGAAAAAAAAACGAAAAATCTACTAAATGTTTCACGCAAGGTTAACGTTATCGTTACAAAACCACGTCTAGGATCAACCAAACCAAATCGTTTGATTTAAGATGTGAATGAGGTTTCTACATTGTCGCATATTTTGAGAGCCGACAACGGCCATGACCTCAGGATGACCTTCGTACAGGGTGGATCCAGAATCCCGATAGGTCCGCGCTATATACTGCTCAATATTTCTCGGTACCATGCCAACAAAACTTTGGATACTGTTAAAATTATTTCCAATAAATTTTCCAGAAACTTTTTTAGAGCAATCGTAGCACAGACGCATTCACCGCGTCAATTTTTTTTTCGCGCCTCATTCAACGTTACCTGTCCTAAACGGATCGAACTTCGAAGGCCTTCTTCTGAGAATTCGCTGGTAGGTTTCCGGGATCTAAATTCTTCGAAATCATTTCGAATAGATTCGCCGGTTTTAAGGGCGCCCACGTCACTCATCTGAACGCTTGAATGTTCAAAGCGTTTTTCAAAACGAGACGCTTAAATTTCGCAGTAATTGTCTGAAATTATGAAACGGTGCATTAGCACATCGGCATTGTCACAAAATCAACAGTTACGGGAGAAAGGTCGAGAGCTATTGAATAAACCGCCCATTGCTACAAGTGAATGGAATTCTGGGACTACTCCATGGGTTTTGGTGGAGTCTTGTGGTTTTGCTGCATAGCGTCACAAAGTACGTGTATATTAGTTTTTAAATTGCGGATTCTTTGATGGAGGCTGGTGCTTCGAGCGAGAATGAACTTCGGGACCGAAGAGACGGTTTGTAAGAGGATTCCATCGTGAGTCCACTTATGACGAGTATGCTGATGCATAGCTCATAGTCCGCAGTTCTCTTTGCAGATCTTGCCAACCACTTCCCCCCCCCCCTCGTCCATATTCCGCCATTTCGACAGATCCAGTTATGGACCCGTCGGAAACAGGAGGCAGCCATATTGCACGCTGGCGCGTCAGCGAACTCCGGCCTTGACTATGCGACGGAGTCATCGTCGTCGCATTCTGAAGTCGGAACAAACGAGTGTTTGTTCGAGTGAGAGCATCAGTGAGAGACGAGACGAATCGCGGGCAACATAAATCCCACTCGGCCCTGACATCCACCGACCCGCTTCTGCCTCTAACGCCACAGACGCCCATCGGTCGCGCCGTCCTCGCTCGTCCCCCCTTGAGGCATGGCTTGCGGTTCGAGGGAGATACTCGACTCGCTCGCACCTCCATCGACCTTGAATGGGGTCGTTCAAGTCCGTGTGGCGGACGGGACTCGGTTGCGATACGGCATCAGTGTGAGACGGGTCCGCGTGGAACCTAGATGACGTCCTACGTAACTCTGTGGCGGCTCGTTTCGTGGTTGCGCTGCCGGTCGATCCGTCGATAGTGGCATCTGTCGCATCGTTCCCTCTTACTTATGACCGTGGCTTCGGTTACGATTACGGCTACGGCTGCGGTTCGATTAAGCGTAGGCTTTCGATCATTCGCGTGAATCGTTCTCTCGACAGGTTCGTCATCGAACGCAGAGACGATGATTTTGTATCTCATGCCCACCTGTCCATACTGCCGAAGTGTCCGGCTCCTTGCAAAGGACATCGGTGTGGACTTCCAGCTCAAAGAGATCTTCACATGCAAGGGCGAACATCTCACGCCCGAGTACCTCAAGGTGGGGTGAATCACCATCAATCCTCCCAGTAATAGTACTTCGAAGTGATATCAATAGTAACTCCCCCTTCTTCCCACGGTTTACGCCCGGCTGCCTCCCGCCAACCTAACCTCTCGCCCTGCTATATCTGTCGAATCGACTGCATTTTGAACCAGTTCCGTCGAGGAGGATGAACGCAGAGCCAGGGACAGTTAGCGAAGCTGATAATGCATGGGAGGTTATCCTCTTTTTCCCACCAGATCGTGAAAGAATTCGCTGCGCTTCGTTACTCCTCTTTGCACATGGACTCTGAACGATTATGGGAAGTTATTACGGTGGGCCGTTCGTGGTTGGCAGATGCCACTTTTGTCATTTCCAAAGAGCACCGATTGCATGCTGCAGTTTTTCATGCAGGCGTGCGGTTGCAACGAGTTTTCTATCGTCACGTCGAGGTGTTTACCTTCTTTAGATCAATGCTGGGCCAAAGCCGTCCATGCTTAGACGGTTAAATCGGGGCGAGCCTTGTAATTTGCCTAAATGGCATGGGATGGATGCTTCCTTTTTGGCACGATATGCGTAGGTTTTAAGTATCATAAATGCGTCCTTCGAAGTCTCATAGCTTCCGATAGTTCCTCTCTTGTGGGTATCCGAACTTAGATGCAAAACAAATTAAGTTCGAACACAATTTAGTTTGGACTCACCGGAAGTAAGGTATCATTTCGGCTCATTCCGGGTAACAATTCTCCATTTTCCCTTGTTTCCTGTGGGATAAGAATTGAGCGCAGAAATCAACGATACCATATGTAATACGTTTCTCAAATAAGGTCGTTTCTCTAAGTTTTATTTAATTTCTCCATCCGCCGATATTTTATTTATTTAGGCCCATTATTTCCAAATCGTGCAAAAAAAGAAGCATCCATCCCATGCCATTTAGGCAAATTACAAGGCTCGCCCCGATTTAACCGTCTAAGCATGGACGGCTTTGGCCCAGCATTGATCTAAAGAAGGTAAACACCTC